GGAATTGGTAGTATCAGGGTAAATGCTTTTTCCATATGTATATATTCATACACAGAGACATAAATATAGATGTGAAGTATGGTAATGTGTGTACCTGTATATAACATGCATATTCTTTAGCTCTGTCCACTCAGAGGGCCTGGCAGCAGTAATACCCTAATGGCAGTGAGCATACCTAACATGCAGACATTTTTTAGACAGAGTCTCACTCTGTTGCTTGGGCTGGAGTGCAGTGGCATGATGTCTTGGCTCATCACAACCTCTGTCTCCTGGGTTAAAGCAATTCTCCTCCCTCAGCCTCCAGAGTAGCTGGGCCTACAGGCACGTGCCACCATGCCTGGCTAATTTTCATATTTTTTAGTAGAAATGGGGTTTCACCATATTGGACAGGCTGGTCTCAGACTCCTGACTTCATGATCCACGAACCTCAGCCTCCCAAAGTGCTGGGATTACAAGCATGAGCTACCACACCTGGCGATACCATTCTTTACTAGTAAATGCAAGGGCTTCTGAGTCTAATTATGAGGAAACAGCATGCCCAAATTGAAAGACATTCTGCCAAATAAGTGGCCTATACTCTCCAAAAGTGTCAGCGTCATCAAAGTCGAGGAAAGACTGAGGGACTTGTTCTAGTGTGAAATAGGTGAAAGAAACAGGACAACTAAATGCAAGGTGTCCTTTTACTGTGAGGGACATTTTTGGAGTAATCACTGAAGCTTGAATGAGGTCTGAGGAATAGAGGGCAAGTAGTAATATCTCAGCCATAATTTTCTGATTTGGCATAATTTTCAAGAATGTCTGTGGGAAATATACACTAAATTATTTGGATTAATGGGGCAGCATTTCTGTTACTCTCAAAAATTCAAGGAAAATACACACACACACACACACACACACACACACACACACACACACACACACACACACACGTATATATATATTTGAGATAGTCTCACTCTGTCACCCAGGCTGGAGTGCAGTGGTGCAATCTCAGCTCACTGCAACCTCTGCCTCCCAGGTACAAGTAATTCTCCTGCTGCAGCCTTCTGAGTAGCTGGGACTACAGGCACGCAACACCATGCCCAGCTCGTTTTTCTATTTTTAGTAGAGACGGGGTTTCACCATGTTGGCCAGGCAGGTCTCTAACTCCTGACATCGGGTGATCTGCCTGCCTCGGCCTCCCAAAGTGCTGGGATTACAGGCATGAGCCACTGTGCCCAGCCAAGGAAAAATATCCTTTGTATTCTTTTGTAACTTTTCTTTAAGTTTGACATGATTCAAAGTAAAGAGGTAAAATATTCTCAAAAATATATAGGCAGGCATGGTGGCAGGCACCTGTTGTATTGGCTGCCAAGGAGGCTGAGGCAGGAACATTGTTTGAGGCCGGGAATTCATGACTGCAGTGAGCTATGATCACATCACTGTTCTCTAGCCTGTGTGACACAGCAAGATATTGACTTTTTAAAAATTACAAATTAAAACTAAAGTGTTCAGTTGTGTTGGATGCTGCTGCACACTCAAATAGGAGCTCTAAAGAGTCCACCTTGAAACATCATCGGAAACCTTAGCAAGAGCAGATGGAGTTGAGAGTGGGGGCAGAGGCCAGAGCTGAGTAGGCTAAGGATGAGACTTGCGGCATGTGGAGATGGCAGGTCAATCACCTTGGTTTGGAGGTTTAGCTATGAAGGGGAGAGAAGAGGGGCCCTCAGAAGAAGGGAAATCATAGTGAAAGATCTAGAAACAATGACATATACCCAGGAATGTTTGAAAAACAGAAATAGCAAAAGTCTTGGAAAAGTTCTGTCTTCAGATATTTGGAAGCCTTTCAAGACAAAGAGATGCTTTATTCTTTATTTTTAGTAGGAAGAACCAGAACCAATGCTTATAGAATGGATTTTAGCTCTGCACTAGAGAACATTTGAAGCCCAGCGTGGTGGCAGGCATCTGTAGTCCCAGCTACGCAAGAGGCTGAGGCAGGGGGATCCCTTGAGCCCAAAAATTTGAGCCCAGCCTGGGCCACAGAGTGAGACCTCCACCACTAAAAAAGAAAAGAAGGAAAACATTTGAGCTGTCTAACAGTGGAATAGTTCCCATTTGTAAAGTGAGCCTCTTGTCACAAAAAGTAGGGAACACGAGGCTGGAAATTCAGCTGTACAGCAAATTCCTGGAAGTGACTCCTCCATGGACTTAAGAATGCAGATAGATGGGCCTCCCACACCCACCAGGCACCCACTGCATTCTCAGCCTATTGTTCTATGACTTTAGGAGGTAATGGGCCCTTTCTGATATCTTGAGTATAGAAGGAAATTACCAGTTCTTGGTGTTCTAGACCTCGCTTTTCAGTGTTTTACCTGCCCACTTGTAGAAATTAAGGAAGAAAAAACTCAGTACTCACTGGTACATTTTAGTGAGTTTCTTTGTTATGTTTACTGTGCCATATATATATATATATATATATATATATTTTTTTTTTTTTTGCACATTAGGTTCTGGGGTACATGTGAGGAACATGCAGGATTGTTGCATAGGTACATACATGGCAATGTGGTTTGCTGCCTCCATCCCCATCACCTATATCTGGCATTTCCCCCCATGTTATCCCTCCCCAACTCCCTACCCCCTGCAGTCCCTCCCCTAGTCCCCCACAACAGACCCCAGTATGTGATACTCCTCTCCTTGTGTCCACGTGTTCTCATTGTTCAGCACCCGCCTATGAGTGAGAATGAGCAGTGTTTGATTTTCTGTTCTTGTGTCAGTTTGCTGAGAATGATGGTTTCCAGATTCATCCATGTCCCTACAAAGAACACAAACTCATCATTTTCGATGGCTGCATAATATTCCATGGTGTACATGTGCCACATTTTCCCTGTCCAGTCTGTCATCAATGGGCATTTGGGTTGGTTCCAGGTCTTTGCTATTGTAGACAGTCCCGCAATGAATGTACGTGTGCATGTGTTTTATATTAGAACAATTTATAATACTTTGGGTATGTACCCAGTAATGGGATTGCTGGTTCAAATGAAATTTCTATTTCTAGGTCCTTGAGGAATCGCCACACTGTCTTCCACAATGGTTGAACTAATTTACACTCCCACCAACAGTGTAAAAGTGTTCCTATTTCTCCACGTCCTCTCTGGCATCTTTTGTCTCCAGATTTTTTCATGATCACCATTCTAACTGGCGTGAGATGGTATCTCAATGTGGTTTTGATTTGCATGTCTCTAATGACCAGTAATGATGAGCTTTTTTCATATATTTGTGGGCGCCGTATGTGTCTTCTTTTGAAAAGCATCTGTTCATATCCTTTGCCCACTTTTGAATGGGTTTATTCGTTTGTTTCTTGTAAATCTGTTTTAGTTGTTTGTAGATTCTGGATATTAGCCCTTTGTCAGATGGGTAGATTGCAAAAATTTTTTCCCATTCTGTTGGTTGCTGGTTCACTCTAATGATTGTTTCTTTTGCTGTGAAGAAACTCTTTAGTTTAATTAGATCCCATTTGTCTATTTTGGCTTGTTGCCAATGCTTTTGGTGTTTTAGTCATGAAGTCCTTGCCTATGCCTATGTCCTGAATGGTTTTGCCTAGGTTTTCTTTTAGGGTTTTTATGGTGTTAGGTCTTATCTTTAAGTCTTTAATCCATCTGTAGTTAATTTTAGTGTAAGTTGTCAGGAAGGGGTCCAGTTTCTGCTTTCTACACATGGCTAGGCAGTTTTCCCCACACCATTTATTAAACAGGGAATCCTTTCCCCATTGCTTGTTTTTGTCAGGTTTGTCAAAGATCAGATGGTTGTAGATGTGTGGTGTTGCCTTCAGGGCCTCTGTTCTGTTCCATTGGTTTATATCTCTGTTTTGGTACCAGTACCATGCTGTTTTGATTACTGTAGCCTTGTAGTATAGTTTGAAGTCAGGTAGTATGATGCCTCCCGCTTTGTTCTTTTTGCTTAGACTTGACTTGGCTATGCAGGCTCTCTTTTGGTTCCATATGAAGTTTAAGGTGGTTTTTTCCAGTTCTGTGAAGAAGGTCATGGGTAGCTTGATGGGGATAGCATTGAATCTGTAAATTACTTTGGGCAGTATGGCCATTTTCACAATATTCATTCTTCCTGACCATAAGCATGGAATGTTTCTCCATCTGTTTGTGTCCTCTCTTATTTCGTTGAGCAGTGGCTTGCAGTTCTCCTTGAAGAGGTCCTTTACATCCTTTGTTAGTTGTATTCCTAGGTATTTTATTCTCTTTGTAGCAATTGTGAATGGGAATGCTGCTGCCTCTTTTCAGAGATGCCCTACCCAGCAAGGAGGTGGCCTAGTCACAGTCTGCCAGGAGAGGCTTTGCTGAGCTGCCGTAGGCTCTGCCCAGCTGCTGTGTGAACTTCCTTGTGGTTTTATTTATAGAGGTATAGTTAGAACTGCCTTGGTAATGGCAGTCTACCTCAGTAATGGCAGACTGTCTCTGTAATGGTGGACTGCCTCAGTAACGGTGGACTGCTTCAGTAATGGCGGACTGCCTCAGTAGTGGTGGACTACCTTGGTAATGGCAGATGCCCTTCCCCCCACAGAGGTGGACAGTCACAGGTCCAGCTGTGCTTGCTGTGAAACTCTCAATCCAGAGTGTTTCAGATTGCTGGTCTTTGTGGGAGTGGAACCCACTGAGCCAGGTCACCTGGCTCCCTGTTTCAGCCCCTTTTTTTTCAGTTGAATGGGCGATTCTGTCTCCGAGGCATTCCAAGTGCCAGTTGAAATGGCCACCGAGATTTGTGTGAATTATTGTGCAGAGACCCGCTGCACTGGCTGAAACAGCCGTCCGGAGACTCGTGGTGCTCTTCCGCCTGTAATCTCCTGGTCTGTGGGCAGTAAAAATTCATGTGGAAATGCAGTGATCACTCACCCCCTGCGTTCTCCCTGGGAACTGCACTCCAGAGCTGTTCCTATTCAGCCATCTTGGATTGTCTCCCTGTTGTGCCTGATTTCATATTTATTATGATCAGTATCTCATTTGGTTCCTTAAATATTATTCTAAATTTTGTTCTCATGTCCACAAGTGGGTACATTCATCTTCATCTGCCACATCTATGTAGGATGTAGTCACAGCACCTCATTGTTGGGAACACTGAGCAAGCTTGCAGAAAGGGCTGTTTTCACCTTGCAGAATCTTGTTTACATTAGGCTTGACTTCCTTAGATGTTGACACAGGGTTACTGACTGTATAGTAACTGGGGTCAGCTCAGTTGTTTTATGTTTATTTGAGGTCAACCCAGGTCTCAGGATTTTACCACAGAGATTATTCTTGAGGGGATCTATAAACCACCCCTTCCTTAGCTTGGTCCAAATACATCCTACCCCTTATCTAATGAAATCAGTTTATATTTTTAGTATAGTTGAAAGCAGTTACTTTTGACTTTTCTCCGTAGATGTCCCCAGATGCTGGTTCTCTAGTCCATGAATTTGTCTATGCAGAGCTCACCACTCTTTCTCAAGATCTAAGTTAACATTCTCAGAAGCACAGACTTGCCTAGAAATCTTCGTAGACTTCCTCTTACTCAGATAGCAAATATACAACTCCTTAGTTTGAGCATTTAGGGCCTCCTGCCAGTAAGTTCATGTTCTTATCATGCAGACCTCTGTGCAGCTGCTGTTTCTGTGTTGCCATTAGGGTCCTGCAGGCCTTGCCTAGAGTAATCCTCATATAATTCCTCCGACAGGAAAGCTGTGCTTTCTTCCATGGCTGTTTTCTAAATAACAAAGGCATGATACTACACATAGAGTAGCAGTATGGACGCTAAATTGAGATTCTGTGTCCCTGTCTTATTTGACAAAAGTGCACATTGTTGGGGAGATGGGGGCGGCATTTTAAAAGGAGCTTGGTGTATAGCATTAGCAATCATTAAAAAAAAAAAACAACCCCAGAAAATAACCTTACCTCTGGCAGTACAGTAGTTTGTTTCTGTGCACACACATCTGAAATACCATTTGTGCAGAGAGAGAGTGAGCAAGCGAGAGCGAGGGCGAGGGCGAGGGCGCAGCCTGACATTAACAAGGGAGGAGGCGGACAGTGAGTACATTAGGGTTGTTGCACTTTCTGTTTTCTTTATATCCTTTATCTTCACGTTGCAACCTCCCCCGCATCTAGTTCCTTAAAAAATGTGATACTTAGTGAGTTTTCTTTATATGCCTCTGCCAAGACATTATTGAAGCTTCCTTTTTCCCCTCACTGCAACAAAAGGCAGAGAATGGTGGTTTTGAGTTTTTGAGAGGCATAGCTTCTATAACTGTCCAACAGAGGCATAACTAAGAATCAGGTTTTCATAGTCTGAAAATGTCAAGTTAAATGTCTTCTGATAATATATCACCTCTAAAAATGTCTTTATTTGTTCTATCCAAGTATTTCTTTCATAGTTTTACCAAGAAAAAAATAAGAATGGTTTTGGTTGTGAAAAATTGAGTATTTTAATAATGTTGTAAGGTATCCAGCATAATCCCACTTTATTACAATTAACTTTTCTCTACACTATTCAAAAGAGGAGTAGAAAGAGAATTTTTTTCAAAACATCCAGAGACAGGCTATGAAAGGAATAACAGAATTTAAGCCTTTTAACGTGTGTGTAAAAGGCAGTGCTTGAATCATGAAGACAGTTTTCTAAATTCATTACAATATTTTGGGGGTAGTTCTTTGAGTAATTGGATCTTTTAAGTGCATTTGAGAAACAAAATTTAGTAATAAATGTATTTAAAATTTATATCATTTTTCCCTCTATTTGAACAGTTTTCCAAAATGCAATCTGTTCATATAGGATTTTGCCCGTTCATATCTAAGTGGGAATCAGTAGTTTCTTTGTTTGTCACCATGGAAACCAGTCAGCCAATCTGAATGGCTCTTAGATCATACAGAACGATGCAATGCTCCGTGCTCTCAGTGAAAGTTCCTCACTGAGTAAGTGGAGCTGACTCTTCCCTGCCTCTGGCTCTTGCCTCCCAGTGCCATGCAGGTGCAGGATGCAACCAGGCGGCCCTCAGCCGTCCACTTCCTCAGCTCCTTTCTCCAGGGCCGCCGGCATTCCACCTCGGACCCAGTACTGCGGCTGCAGCAGGCCCGGCGGGGCTCTGGCTCAGGCTTGGGCTTGGGCTCTGGCTCCCGCTCTGCCACGAAGCTGCTGTCCTCGTCCTCTCTCCAGGTGATGGTGGCTGTTTCCTCAGTCAGCCATGCAGAGGGAAACCCAACTTTCCCCGAAAGAAAAAGTAAAGATCTCTTTCTTCTTATAGATTATCATACCTTTGTATGTAAGCTTGAGGAATGGAAATCAGCTATATTGTGTTTATACCTTTTTAAATATTGGCAGTTTAGTCTGTATTATACTTTTTGCTGTCTGTTATGCTAAGTATTTTAGTGAATATATAAGAAGATATAAAATGATCAAATGTTTTGTGTTTTTTTAATTAAAAATACAGGTTTGAACAAAACTCATTCCCTTGTAAAACTTTTACACTTTCTTCTTCTTAATTGCCAGTATATGTGGAGATTATTATATGTGAAAACTTTGTTATGTTAAGAGATATATGTCACTTTGATGACAAGAAAACAGTTTCGTTTTCTTGACAAAATGAAGGGGATTTTGCACTGGCTTGTCATCTACCATGCTGAGATAAAATGGAAGCTGTTTCCCATGTTACAGTTTCATTTGGAGAGTGGAATTTTGAATTTTCCTTTCCTTATATGTTCTAGGAAATTTAGGATATCCAACACCAAAGTACACAAAAGTAGGAGAGCGTTTACGGCATGTCATTCCTGGACACATGGCGTGTTCCATGGCGTGTGGTGGTAGAGCGTGCAAGTATGAGAACCCAGCCCGCTGGAGTGAGCAGGAGCAAGCCGTTAAGGGGGTTTACTCTTCCTGGTGAGTGATCCCGTTGGTTTTTCATAGTTCTGTCAGTTCTGTGTGAGCCAGGAGCCTGCAGTGTGGGAGGAGCAATGTGGGACTTTGAAGTCAGGACCTCACTTTGGCAGTCAGGTCTGGCTTTGCCCAGGCTGTGTGATCTTGGCCTACCAACTCTCAGTTTCTTTAAGGTGGAAATAATAAAACCAAAATCATAGGTTTTTTTTTTAATTAAGTGAAATGACATACATATAAAGTGTATTGAAGAAATGGGTAATTAGATAGCTCTTAAATTTCAGAAATGTTTAGAAATAATAAAACTGTTCAGCTATAAATTTGAGAAAATTATTAGGTACATGTGTAATTTTTCCGTTTCATAGTGGTAAGCTTCAGCTTTTATGTTGTTACTGTGTTCTCTATGAAAGGTCACATTTTCATACAAATACTCTTCAGTCTACCCTAATAGAAGTTGTACAGTTGTCAGCTCAGTAGACAACATACTTGCTTTTTTTATGGTGTATAAGTACAATTAATATTGTTCTTTAATCATACTGCCTTTTATTACACAGTAAACTAATCAAGTATACCTTTTTTATGTAGTAACATCTGAAAAATTCTGATAAATCATATTTGAAGCATACTTAGAGGAATTCACTGTTTAATTCTAGTAGTGAATTATATTATACATCAAGAAACCATTTTTAAATTAGATATTTGTTAACTGGCATATCCAGCTTACAACCTGTACTTTTTGCTCAATACATCTGTAGTGATACAGTCTGGGGTCCACTGTCATTATTGTTTGCCACAGATCATATAATGGTCCATCACTATCGTACTAATTGTATGAAGAATGAAACATTCATAGACAAGAAAATTTCCAATAATGTAGCTTAGGCCATTTGCATATTTTTGCTAGTCACGTGAGTCTTTTTCACCTCTGCTGCTTTCACATTACATCCTCCTTCATCTTAGACTAATTATCATTGAATTGCAGGGTTCCCAAACCTTCTTTTTAAACCACATGCCTTCTTTCAGAGGGAAAGGTGTCATTTTGGATCCCGCTCTGCCAGTCTCTGTTATTCCCCTGAGATTCATGTGACCCACAACTTCCAACAGACTATCTTATGTATCTCATTAGGCCACTGATGAAAAATTTGAACAGAACAGAGTGAAGCCAGAGCCCAGAGGCCTGACAAGAGTAATAGTCATTTATTGGGCTTCTGTCTACTCATTCATTTGGCGCAGTAAATATCCATTTGGCCGGAGGCCAGTCAGTGTGGTACATGCTTTCATATTATTACCTTTTATCTTCATAAAACTCTTGTGAGCTGTTAATGCGATTTTATTGATGACAGAATTGAGTTCCAGAGAGACCAAGTAATTTGTTACCAAGCTAGAAAGTAGAAAAGCCAGTATTTGAAACCAAGCCCAACTGACTCTGGAGCCCATATTTGTCACCAAATTACAGTAACTCAGCATTTATTCGTAATTGCATGCCAAGATTTGTGCCAAAGACTTTATATCCACATCATAATGAATTCTCACATCAACCCTGTGAGGTAGGCATTATTATCCCCATTTAACATCTTAGGTAACTGAGGTTCAGATAGTTGAATAACTAAAAGTATCTCCCAGTTGGCCCTCCTCTTAAGTCACTACCCAGTGGATAACAATCGAGACTGTTACTTTCACCACCAGCTGAGTTTTCTCCATCACGTCTACTAGAATCTCTTGAGAGTCCTTGAAAATACTTTGCTGGAATCCACAAATAATTTATGTCCTGGAATTTTTTCCAGGGATTTAAGAAACTAGAGTCTCTTAGAGCTCTAATCATGCAAAATTGAAGCCATATTTGTATAAGAATATTCTTACATAGGTGCACCAAAATCTCAGAATTCATCACTAAAGAACTCATCTTCATAACCTAATATCATCTGTACTCCAAAAACTATCAAAATTTTTATAACTTAAAGAGAAAAAAAGCATAATATCTAACAGCACCTTTAGTACACAACCTTTTGTACAAGAAAAAGCAGATAAATAAGAATAAATTTTCATACTTGCTTATATTTGCAAAAAGAAACACTAAGATAATAAACATGAAATTAATACACATGATTACATATTGGCAATAGACTGGCTGGAGTGGATGAAAACGGGTGAGAGCAAACATTTTAGTGCATACATTTTTGTATTGTTTTGATTTTATTGAACCATGAAACTGTATTACCTGTTCAAATAAAATTTATACACAAAAAAGAATATTCTAACAGAATTGTTGAAATCATAGAAAAAAATCATCTCTCAGGGCTGGAACATCTCTTTGGGCTAGAACTTCCTAGGTTTCGGCACATCTCACCAGTCCCTCCACCCATTTGCAGGGTCACTGATAATATACTGGCCATGGCCCGCCCATCCTCTGAACTCCTGGAGAAGTACCACATCATTGAGCAGTTCCTCAGGTAAATGCCGTATTGTTCACACAACGAGTGAGCAGACTCGTGTTTTTCTTTCATTGCCTTTGTTTTCGAATAAAAAAGTGCTTTCATTTTAACAATAGGCAGTGAAGAGTGTATTTCAAATAAGAAATTAAGATTTTGAGAGTAATTAATATTGTTGATTAATACCAAAAATGGTTAATTTTTTTTTTAATGCTAGCTCCTAATATGACTGACTGCTCTTTTTCCTTTAAGCCATGGCATAAAAACAATAATCAACCTCCAACGCCCTGGTGAGCATGCTAGCTGTGGGAACCCTCTGGAACAAGAAAGTGGCTTCACATACCTACCTGAGGCTTTCATGGAGGCTGGCAGTAAGTTCCTCCCACCCTCCTTTCATGAATTACCAAGGACAGCACTCAGAGACTTTTCTCTGCTGGGTTCTTAGATTAAAAAGGTGATGGAAATAAATACCTCCTGCATAGTAGTAGGGATCCAAAAAAAAAAAAGCTACCATTCTCTTTGGTGTTGCTGTTGAAAGTACAGAATTTCTTTGTTCTGTAAGAGGGATGTTGGGAGGAGACCCTGTAGTAACAATGATTAACATTAGTTAATGCTTGCAGTATGCCGGCCACTATTATCTCATTTAATCCTTAAAGCAGTTATGTAACATAGTCATTGTTTCTGTTTTACACATGAAGCCACAGGGGCTTAGAGAATTACCTACCCACCTAAGATCACACAGCTTAGAAATGGTAGTCAGGTTTGGAACCTGGACATGCTCGTGGTTTTATTGCTGTCCAGCCCCATTCCCAAAATGATGCCCGAGGATTCTACTTCTAACAATTTCAAAGCCGCCTCAATCACAGGAGCTTTGGGATGAAATACACTCAACATGTGTCCTTCAAACCAAGCTGGAAAGGATAAACAATCTGGAACTTGTTTTTAAGAAGCTGATTTACGCTAGATAGAAAATCGGTATGTGCTGTCTTTAGCTATTTATCAGTCATTTAGACACATTTCCTTGCTTAAACAAGACTGAATGCATTCCCTCCATAGCTGAGTAACCATGGCATGAATCATTGACTTTATTAATTTGCAATTCTACTTTGCCATAATTCATTCTGGCTGAGTTTCTGCAGGAAATGTCTTAAGTAATATAAAATGTGCTTTGCAAGTAAATGTTAACAGTAAAGTTACTGGGAATGTAAAATCCCTCTTATTTTATGCAGTGTATGCACTGCGATCTACATGCCTCAGTATAGATCTGTGTACTTTTCATTAATGTGTGTACTTTCATCAATTTCCTGTATGTTGATTTTCTTTTCCTTTTCTTTTTTCTTAGTTTATTTCTACAATTTCGGATGGAAGGATTATGGTGTAGCGTCTCTTACGACCATCCTAGATATGGTGAAGGTGATGACATTTGCCTTACAGGAGGGAAAAGTAGCTATCCACTGTCATGCAGGGCTTGGTAGAACAGGTAAGTCCTAAGAGGTGGTTTTATTGTCTTACAGGCATATTTAAACGTAAAAGTAATAAGGTTTCCTAATTTGAGATAAATGTTTCTCAGAATCCTATCAAAGCTTCGGAGTCAGGTGGAAGAAGGGAATAAGTTCTAGCCTTCTGTACCACTGTAGGCTGTCTATAGTTAACAATTATATATAGTTTCAAAAAGCTAGAAGGAGGATATTGAATGTTCCCAACACAAAGAAATGATAAATGTTTGAAGATTATGTATATAGTAAATACACTGATCTGATCACTATACATTATATGTATTAAAACATCACTATATATCCCATAGATATGTATGATTATTATATGTCAACTTCAAAAATTAAATCAAAAATGTTTTTAAGATATTTGAATATTTGAATATTTTTTAAGATACTGTAAACAGGTAGTTACAATATGACCATATGTATGTCATTTTAAAGTCTTCAGCAACAATGTGAGTTGAAGAAACTGCAGTTTGAGAGAAGTAAAGTAATTTCCTACATTTAGTAAGTAGCAGGGTCAAGCTTTAAATCCATGGTTATCTGACTCCAGAGTTCATGTGCTTTCTATTTTTGGAGGTATAAGGATTTTGTTTGTAAAGGAGAGTCTATCTGTGCCTAGAATTCTATTAAAAATTCAGTGATTTTACTTAAAAATTCAGCAGAATTTCATTACAATGTTAGTATTAGGGCAAAAATAAAGACCTTAGGGCTGAAATTTTCATTGTCATCTGATCCAGGCATATGCAGCTGAACTCTGTCCGCAGTGTACCTGTGCTCCCACCAGGGGATCTGCCAGATGCTTGGGAGCATGCTCAGGGAGGGGACTCAGCTCTGCTTGAGACTGGTAGCCCGTAGGATCAAGCCAAAATCTCACTGTTTCTAGACATTGACATGATAGCTCTGCAGGCATTTTACATTTTTACTAAGATCTTCTGTGTTCTAGTGAGAAAGGTATGATGTTCCTGACTGTGAACTGGAGAGCATGCAGTTTTCAGAGGTTCTGATTTTCATATGTAACAAGATGTTCACAGACTTGGGGATCACATAGGTATATTTGATTTGTCTTTTACTTTAATATTAATGGACTGTTATATTTGAATTAATTTATTAAATTATTACCTTTTCATTAGTTACTCCTTTTAATTAGATGTTAATAAGAATACATAATGTTTACACCATTAAGGCTGGCTTCCAGATTGCTTAATTTTCCATAACTGCTTATGGAAAAATAGAGGTATATCATGGTCTGAAGAAAAACACATATTAGTATAGGCACAAATCTGGAAGAAGAATTGCTAGGAAGAAAAGTAGGCTGTGAATGTGAATAATCCCCAAAGAAGAAACTGCCCTGGTAGGGAGAATGCCAAGCTGTGAAGTGCCAGCAGTTGATGGCAAAGATGGCAGGGTGGGAGGTTCCAAACATAAAACGTATGGATTAATTGGATGGAAATTCTCAAGAACTGCTCAGAGTGGAAAATAGAAACAGATTTTCTTTCTTCTGTTGGAATTGAGCAGAACAAGGAGGATAGATGGGCCAGATGATCAGTTTCCCTTCCCTCCTACACGCTTACTCACCTACATTGTGCCTCTGCTGGTACAGCTCTGGGCACTGCGATGACTCAGTCACAGGGAGGGGGTGCCATATAGACATTTAATAAAGTTCTATGCAGTAAGGAACATGTAATAGTAATACCTCTACAAAAAGTCATCAAGTTATCATCATAATTGTCCTTAAAATGTGTGTCTATTTGTATGGTTTCTTAACACATACTCAAATTTTAAGTCATCAAGGAGTGATAAACTAAATAAAAATGTAAGCTTTTCTCATACCAGTCTTCTCTTCTTCACTGTTTAGGTGTTCTAATAGCCTGTTACTTAGTTTTTGCAACAAGAATGACTGCTGACCAAGCAATTATGTTTGTGCGGGCAAAACGACCCAATTCCATACAAACCAGAGGACAGCTCCTCTGTGTAAGGGAATTTACTCAGTTTCTAACTCCTCTCCGCAATATATTCTCTTGCTGTGATCCCAAAGCACATGCTGTCACCTTAGCTCAATATCTAATTCGCCAGCGTCATCTGCTTCATGGTTATGAGGCACGACTTCTGAAACACGTGCCAAAAATTATCCACCTAGTTTGCAAATTGCTGCTAGACTTAGCTGAGAACAGGCCAGTGATGATGAAGGATGTGTCCGAAGGACCTGGTCTCTCTGCTGAAATAGAAAAGACCATGTCTGAGATGGTCACCATGCAACTGGATACAGAGTTACTGAGGCCTAACAGTGATGTGTCCAACCCGTCTAACCCCACTGCAGTGGCAGCAGATTTTGACAATCGAGACCTGATTTTCTCCAATGAGCAAGAGTTTGACCCCCTTTGGAAGAGGCGGAATGTTGAGTGCCTTCAACCCCTGACTCATCTAAAAAGGCGGCTCAGCTACAGTGACTCAGATTTAAAGAGGGCTGAGAACCTCTTGGAGAAAGGGGAGACTCCACGGACAGTGCCTGCCCAGGTCTTGGTTGGTCACCACCCCAGGCAGCAGAAGCTCATAAGCCATTATTACGTACCACAGTCTCCAGAACCAGACTTACATAAGGAAGCCTTGGTTCGCAGCACACTTTCTTTCTGGAGTCAGTCAAAGTTTGGAGGTCTGAGAGGACTCAAAGATAATGGGTCACCAATTTTCCATGGAGGGCTCATTCCAAAGGAAGCACAGCAGAGTGGAGCTTTCTCTGCAGTTGTTTCAGGCTCAAACAGCCCTGGGGAGCCCGTTTCACCCAACTTCGCAAATGTCCGTAAGGATCCAAACCCTACTCACCAGCAAGTGTCTCACTGTCAGTGTAAAACTCATGGTGTTGGGAGCCCTGGTGCTGGAAGGCAGAACAGCACAACTCCCCGAAGCCCTCTGGACTATGGCTCCAGGCCCAAAGCACAGTTCTCGGTTGAACATGAAACCCAGGACAGTAAAGATCTGTCTGAAGCAGCTTCACACTCTATATTGCAATCTGAATTGAGTGTTGAAGCAAGAAGAATACTGGCGGCCAAAGCCCTAGCAAATTTAAATGAATCTGTAGAAAAAGAGGAACTAAAAAGGAAGGTAGAAATGTGGCAGGTATTATTAGTACTTTATTTAATTATAGATATGTGGGAAATATTTATGTCAGAGCAGAAGTGTAATACATTTTCTCAAACTTCCCAAGTGAAATATGAAGAAACATTTGTATAATACTTAACTTTATAACATCAGGTTTCTCATCTATGATGTGAACCTGATGTTACAGAAAAATCACAGGGTGTTTGTGTGGTTTCATTTAAATCTGCATATGCAAGAAAGCACTTAGCGCAATGCTTGACCCACACAAGGCATTGATGTTGGTAGCTTCCTTCTTTCTTGCTGGGTCTGTGGGGGCAGCTGGCCCAAAACAGACAGCATTAGAAACTCACTTGAAGCATCTTTAACCTGAGGCCTGGCAGAGGGAACCATACTTTGGGAACCACTGAGCTAGAGACATAAATAAAATAGTTACTTTCCAAACCTCAACAGCACTAGTGCTGAGGAAGGTCAGAAGAGTGAGGCTGTCTCCTTGGCATCCTCTCCTTCAGACTTGCCAATCCTGCTCTGATTGGGCAACTATGGGAAATCAGGAGAGCAAGTGGGAGGAACCACAGATTACTGCGTGCCATTTTAGCTGAGATGAGGTCTTTGGTGTCCGTTTCTTAGCTTTTACTTCAATTAGAATATAAATTTTTAACCCTTTTTTGTGTTATGCTTTTACTAGGATACAGTTTTAAGTCAACCACACTTTCTTTGCCCTGAATCAGCACTTGGTCTAGAGAAAAGATAGGCCTTATAAACCTAGCTATCAGAAACAGCCAGACTACCCCAAAAGGAGGCTGACTTGGACAGTTGTGAATCACTGAAATCTTGACTTTTGAGCCCAGGTTGGTCACCACCCCAGGCAAGTTATCTACTGTGAATTATTTTAATAGCTTGCTTTCATAGTCTGCCATTGATTAAACAAGGCATATAAAATTTCTAAGTGCCAGTATCTCTTCAGATGCAGAGGCATGAAAATTTAGAGCTTCACGCTAACTGATAACTATATGACGAGAGGAGAGAACTTTTGATCAAAATTTTGTTCATCAGAATTGTGTTTCGCCTATCCAATAGTTAAATGTATTGCTTTCCTCCAAAATGAATTGTTTTCTTTATTTCCTACTCCAAACTGAAAAAGTCATTCAGTCAGCAAATGTTTCCTGGGCATTACAGTGTGTTAAGAGTTAGCAAGCAAGAGAGTCTTCTGTTTTAGATGAAAATCTTGCACCCCCACTCCTGGGGTCAGCCACAGTGCCCATGTGAGCTCTGCCTGTGGTGATGAAGAGTTCAGGACTTGGTTTGGGCCAGACTGTATGTAGCATATATGAAAGCATTTTCTGGAGGTGAACACGGGCCTTTAATCGGGAGAGTTTTTCATTTTATTCATTTCTATATTTTATTTTAGGACTTTTAGAAATCAAAAAAATCAGTTGAATTCTGGAAAAGAATAAAGTGAACATTATTTGAATAGCGTAATGCTACCTATGCCTGTACTCGACCATTTCACATGTATTATTTCATGTGATTTTTCACAGTTCTAGAACGTATCTGTGAGGCAGATGATACTATTTCTACATTCTTTGTTAATCTGAAGAATTCAGTATCACAGATGGGGATGCTAAAGGTCACAGAGGTTAGAGGGTAAGTGACTTGCTCAGGGTCACATGGTATACATGTGGCAGAGTCAGGGGTACAGCTCATGTGTTTAACACTTTCCATTATCCCAGGATTCTTGGCTAACCTCACTGGAAAGCCTCAGGAAACATAATGATAGATAGCCATTTTGCTAAGAGGGTTTTTGAGCAATGTCAGTTCTGCCCAGCTTGTCTTCTTCATAAGATTGAATAAAGAGCTACTTTGTTACATACATGATTTATGGAATAGGAAGGACTATGAATAACAAAGTACTGGTGTATTCGTAAGATAATAAAGAGAAACCAGGGTCCTTGTGGTGTAGCAGAAGCAGCACAGACTGGAGTAAGGCAGAACTGGATATGATGAACATCCCCTTTGCCATTTTCTGGCTTTTGTCTCCTAGGTGAGTTATTTCATCTTTTCTTGAGCCCCAATACATTTATCAGTAGGGAACCTCCCTGCCGGGTGCCATTTGAGAGTTAGAGATAAGTCATGTATTACAGTTTCTGTCCCACCGTGTGCATGCAGTAAATATTGGATAGGTGAATGAATGAGTGAATGGTAGCAATTATTATACTTCTATTGTCAAAATTTATTTGATTCACTAAAACATAAATCTGAACCCTGTCCGAAATTCATTAAAATCCTTAGCTTACTTTTCCCTTGCTTTCTGTGAGGTAAAATTTCTAAATCTCATGCTTAAATTTTCTCTAGGCATTTTGAGTATTCGAAAAACTTTCTAGTTATTTTCCCCATGTCAAATTTCACGACTTGGGGCTTATTGTTAAATCCTACATAGGATTCTAAAAAGATATTTCAAAGATATACGCGTGTCCCATTTACCAACTTTCAAGCGCTTTTATTTTATTTTTGCAGACTTCAGAGCTGTCAGAGCTTTCCCTTAGACCACAGGTTAATTTATAAATGTTCCCTTATTTGTACTTTTTCATCTACCATCGACTTTATTGCAAAAAATAGTTCTGTTTTGTTCACCAGAAGCCTGAAAAGGAAGATTCTTCTGAACTGTTTCTCTGGTTTCTGAATAAAGTAGAGAACTTGGATTAACTAAGCCCTTTCTCTGTGCAATAAGCTTTAACAGACCTTATCTCAGTCAGTCAGCCCAACAGCTTGTGAGGCAGGGGATGAGTTTCATAGAGGGAAACTGAGGCTTACAGAATTCAGTGTCTTATTCCGGTGTCCAGCCTGGAAGTGGAGAGGCTGGGAGGGGTTCCAGTTCTGCACCCTAGAGCCTGAGCCTTTCACTCTTGTGGGCAGCACAAAAATCATCCAGTGTCAAATGGTGCACCTCTCTCTCCTCTCCCTGTCTCTGTCTCTGTCTCTGTCTGTCTGTCTGTCTCTTTCTCTTCCTTTTTAGAAAGAGCTAAATTCCCGAGATGGAGCTTGGGAAAGAATATGTGGCGAGAGGGACCCTTTCATCCTCTGCAGCTTGATGTGGTCTTGGGTGGAGCAACTGAAGGAGCCTGTAATCACCAAAGAGGATGTGGACATGTTGGTTGACCGGCGAGCAGATGCCGCAGAAGCACTGTTTTTATTAGAGAAGGTAAAGTGGCTATATATAGGAGCAGTTCATGACTAACTGAGGCTTTTAGTTTTTCATACAGCAAGAAAAATCCATTATAAAAAATGGAATTTTTACAGAATCCCAAATCTAGGTCTAATTTAATAATTTTTCCAAGAGAAGAGAAGAAACTAATACCCAGTGTAAACACTTAGAAAATACACAAATAAAAAGGGGAACTATCCATAGTCCTGGGAGGGCACTGCAAACATTTTCAAATCTTTTAAACTTAGCAATATGTATATTAACTTGGTAAAAGTCATTTTAACATACAAGTTTATGTTTCCTTTTTACTTAAAGCTGTAGCTATTTTTCCATGAATAATGTAAGCTTTTCGTAAATTTTGACTGTAATGGATATGATGCTGTAACACAAGAATGTGCCATAATTAACCACTTTTTCACTGTTGGGTGTTTGTTTCTACTTATTTGCTATGAGCATGCATATGGGAAAAATTATGAAGTAGGTTGGAATATGCATTCATTGATATTTTTAAAAAGGGATAGGTGTCCCACATACATATGTGTATATATAATTTGTATGTGTAAAATATTATTTTCTATATGTATAAAAGCAATACGTTTAAAATACAGAAGATATTTATATATGTATAAAATACAGAAGAGAAATAAGAAACTGGTAATAGTAGTTACCTTTAGGAAATGATATTAGAAGACAATGGATGTAGGAAATGGGAGAAATTGTATGAATCCTTTTATATAATTTGGCATTTTTAACCAGAGATACTAAATTTTCAGTTTAACATAGGCTTTGTTTTGGATTTTTTTGTTTTTTGAGATGAAGTTTAGCTCTTGTTGCCCAGGCTGGAGTGCAGTGCATGATTTTGGCTCACTGCAAGCTCCGCCTCCCAGGTTCAAGCAATTCTCCTGCCTCACCCTCCCAAGTAGCTGGGATTACAGGTGCGCACCACCACACCCAGCTAATTTTGTATTTTTAGTAGAGATGGTTTCTCCATGATTGTCAGGCTGGTCTCGAACCCCTGAACTCATGTGATCTGCCCTCCTTGGCCTCCCAAAGTGCTGGGATTACAGGTGTGAGCCACCACGCCTGGCCTGTTTTTGTTTTAAGAAACAATGTTATCTAATAATCAGCCTTGAGTTACCTACTATGCTGCAGTGTAAACATCTCAGTTTCTAAATTTCACTAAAAATCTTCTGCTGTTACTATACATACACACACACACACACACACACGGACACATATGGACACATGCACATGCAGACATGCATGCAGATACGTATACTCACGTGTACACAGACAATACACAGACATGTGCGTGCCTGCACACACACACAGACACTCACACAATACACGTCTTTTAAGAAACGATTTTTCCTGTATCCAAAGTCCTTTACTTAGGACATTTTCTCAGCAATTAAATCACAGAGATAAAAGATGAGAGGGTGATAAGGGAGATTAATGTTTGGTGGGTTACTGGGCCAAGCATTTCAGGACATAATTTCCATTTTCTCCTCTGTTTATCTCAATACCCCTTAGAGGTAGAGGCCCATTTCACAGATAAGGAAAGCTGAGGTTGCATGCCCAAGGTTGGCAGCAAATGTCAGAGCAGAATTCAAACTCGCTCTGGCACAAAGCACATGTGCTTTCTATTACGTAAGACTGTCTGTTTTATCTTAATTCACCCTCGCTTCATGTATAGGGCATTTATATTGCTCCAGGTTTTTTACCTTAATAGGAGTCATTGTAATGATAATTTGTGCTTGCAGGTGTTTCTTTATTATAGATTATGCTCTTAGAGTAGATTTTCAAAATTGAAATTAGTGAGTCTCTGTACGTTACGTCTTAGATATGTATTGCTAAAGGCAATGGAATTTCTCCTTTGCTAAGGTGAACAGCCCCCAGGAGTCAAGTCACTAGACACATTTTTAAGTATCTTACCCCCTTAGGTTGGAGGCTAAGCACTTAAGCACTGCCTTGTTCCTGGGGGACTGGGGTTGTCCTTTTCCTTTTCTTTGTCTACTCGCCTCCCTCCCTAATCATCTGCAGCGGCTGGGTACCCAGATCCTGACCACTCAGTGCCCAGTTAATAAGTCCATATATCTCTATGACCTGTCATCATCTACTGGACAACTGAAATAGCTATATCCAGAAACAAGAAGAATGGGAAAACCTATTCAGTTCACTGCAGGAGAAAAACTTGGTTTAAAATTGCAGTGATCTTTAAATTTACTTTTACTTTGTGCAATAGCTAGCCAGCTTTGATATTATTTCCTGAAAGCTTTTTAAATTATATTAACACATAACAATAAACATTTGTTGATGTTTAGATATTTTGTTAGATATTTTGGCATTTGACATTATGAGTACTTGATCACAAACCAATTCTTTATTCTACAATAGTTTTTGAACAATTTTTTAAATTTTGATTTCTACAAAAACAGGGACAGCACCAGACAATTCTCTGCGTGTTGCACTGCATAGTGAACCTGCAGACAATTCCCATGGACGTGGAGGAGGCTTTCCTTACCCATGCCATTAAGGCATTCACTAAGGTGGGTCACACTCTTCCTTTCCCCTCTCTGAACCACAAATCAGCATCAACTTTGTAAATCAGAATCCAGAGGTCACCATTGTCCTCTAAAATAAAACATGTATGTGTACATTTTCCCTTCATGGAAATGTGTTTGACGTGTCTTCTGAGTAGTTGCAGAGTTTTGACCAAAAACAAAGTTTCCAAACAGTAATCTTAGGAAAAGCTGAACTGTGGGTTTTTTGAAGGAGAATGTTGGAACAAAGAGCTTTTATGTAAAAGAAAGAGAGAAACAACTGTGCATTGAATACATATTTTTAGATCATATGCCTAATTAGAATCAGAGAATCTTTGTTGTCGAGCCAGTTCTACGTTGGGTTTAAGTTAAGAAACCATCTATTGAAAATTAAACATCCAGCATTACTGATTCAGTACTGAGTCCAGGTTGGCAAATCCTAAGGAAAGAGTTAAAAAAAAGGTTTTCTTTCTAAAAGCCCATCGTTTTGGTTGTAGCAGTTTTTTCTGGCTGAAGAAAGAAGCATTAGCCAGGTTCATTACCAAGAGAAAACTTTTCCCTTACCCCATCAGCTATAATTTGTTTATATTTCTCATTGATATGAAAGTATCTATAATTTGTTTGTTACCTCTCATCGATATGAAAGTGTCATTAAACAAAGAACCCGACTTTTGAATGACATCTTTGCTAACATTAATGATAATAGCAGTTATTATCTGTACTCATTCACAAGTTGTAAAGATTCTTCATTTGTAATATTTGTCCAGTTTCCTTCCCCGCCACTCTTTCCAAAGTGATGTTCTTACTCCAGGCTTCTTTGTTCCTCATCTGGATTTTATGACACTGACTGCTGACATCTTTTCACTCTGTTCTCTATTGTTTCCAGAGTCAGTAGTGTCAATCCAAACCACGTGGTCTTTACCTCTGTATTTACATTTTCATAAACTGAGAGGTTACCTACCATGTGAAGAAGGTTGTGGTTTGGTGTTTAAGAAAGTAAATAATTCAGACCATTATTAATGTTAATAAGGAGTTTTTTGCAAATGGGATAAACAATATAGTTAGATAAATTCCTGAGCTTGACTGAAAAAAAAAAATCCTTAAGATTAGTCTCTCTGAAAGCAGTAGGAGTTCTTTACAACTTCTGTTGGCCTTTTAAGGGGATACTAATGAAAAGTTATAGAATCAAAAGTTAGAGTTAGCAGTTATTCAGAATCTGTCTGTAGAAAATGTTAGGAGACAGTTCTCCTTGGGTCTGTCGCGTCTCTTCATAATCTGATGAGCAGATGCACTGACCACTCGTCTTTGGGGATTAACTCTTCACTGATGTCTGGAGGGCTCTGCTGGGAGGGCAGAAGGCACACATTCTGCCTTCCAGGATAAAAAGTTTTCCCTTCGGGGCAAAGATTGGCAGACTTGCTTGCAGCCCCCTTGTAAAACATTGGAGTTTCCTAAGCTTGGGGCTCCTTAGCTGTGAGGCAAACCCCATGCTTGTGCAGCCTCCACCTGGGCCCCTCTGCATTGCCCCCATGGGACTTGGGAGACAAGGATAACTCATGTGAACATGAAGCACATGCAGCTGTGAGAAATAAAAGTTATCTGTCTCTGACCCAGGAGTCTTATATCTTGTACAAGTATCCATGACACTGGCAAGCTAACAGGTTAAAATCTAAGATCCTTTACAGTTGTTGATAAAGGGAACAACCTTCCCTTTGTCAGAATTTATCAGAGAAGGAGAAATTCCAGGAGAGAGGCAGTGATTGTGTAACCCTGATTCTTTCCCAGGGAGGGAGTCACACGTTACTCTGCTTGGGGTTGAGGATGGGTATACACTCTGGTTCTCTGTCTTGCCATCACTCCTAGCCCAGAGTAAGGTAAACTTGGGTGAAAAATGCAAATGCGTGTAAATAGTGCTCTCCCATCAAGGGGAAAGGAAATTTACTTTTATCAAGGTGGGGTTGGTTTGTTTGTTTGTTTTTTTGAGACAAGTTCTCACTCTGTCACCCAGGCTGGAGTTCATTGATGCAATCTCAGCTCATTGCATCCTCTGCCTCCTGGGCTCAGGCAGTTCTCCCACCTCAGCCTCCCAAGTAGCTGGGACTATAGGCATGTGCCACCATGCCTGGCTAATTTTTTAATTTTTTGTACAGGCGAGGTTTTGCCATGTTGTCCAGGCTGGTCTCAAACTCGTGGGCTCAAGCAACCCTCCCACCTAGACCTCCCAAAGTGCTGGGATTACAGGCATGAGCCACTGCGCCCAGCCAATTGAGGTTTGTATATATGTACCAAACGTTAGACTCATAGATACACTATCTTATGAAGTGGGAATCCTTATCTCTGATTTACACAGGAGGAAATCAAGGTCCAGAGAGGTTGCTTATGAGATGAGGACACATAGCTCGCAGGTGGGGAACAAGGCTTCTGTTCAGGCCATTCTGACTCTGTCCAGAGTGGCCATAGGGCCTCTCAGCGGGACACATACAGCTGATGTGCTATTTTAATATAGGAAACTTTTCCCTTATACTATCAATGATTAGTCTCAAAAAATTCATTTCACACCCACTGTTGACTTGCTTCATGACTGGGTGTATATAATTAAACTAAATATCCAGACACCAGATTTAATTTTGGGGTTTTCATTCTTAAGTTTGGTATTGACATGGTTGGCAGTTCTAACATAGTCTTTCAATTAAAATGTGTGAAATTTATTATTTGTATTTTATATAGAGTTTTGTTTGTAAGTCTGTTTTTTTCTCCACCCCCTCCTTCTCAAAATAGAAACTAGTTAAAATTCTTGTTACAGTGTCCTGAATATAAATTTCTTTGTCACCAGGTTAATTTTGATTCTGAAAATGGACCATTAGTTTACAACACCCTGAAGAAAATATTTAAGCACACGCTGGAAGAAAAAAGAAAAATGACAAATGATGGCCCTAAGCCTGGCCTCTAGCTTTCCCTCGTGGTGAATATTTCAGACCTAAAGATCCAGATAGTATCTCTGTTCATATGCGAATAAGTTGAAGTTTGTGGGACTGCTTTTTCTCATAGCACTTTATTTAAAATGTTGTTGGTTTGTGCTGAGAATGGCCATCCCAATTTGAACCAATTATTTATTTTAAAATTTCCTTGAACTACATTTTTGTTTTGAACAATTGCCATAAAGTTGGTGCCACTTTCTTTTATTTATTTGACTGAGTTAATATTGTATTAACATTTTAATATATGGTGTTTACATTTTTATTTCTTTTGACATTTTAGAAAAAATCATAACTTGTTTTTCCAAAATAACCATTTTCTTGATGGAACTCTTCCTAGAGTTTTTACCAAATACCTAACTTTAGTAGTAAAACTTCATTGTGTATCCATTCCCCAGCAAATGACTAAGAAAGTCACCAAGTGTCTTAAACTGTTTTGTATTTGTTACTAAGAAGGCTATTGCTACAATATTTTTAAAGGGTTTTTTTTTAAACTTTGAAATTTTTGTTTTTCCTTTTCTTTTTATGAATGTAACAAAGAGTTTCAAAGCATATTATTTTTCAGAGAGATTTAGTTTTACTTTAATGGGGTGACTGTGAAGTGGTTGGCATTTTTTACTTGTAGAAAGTAGACTTGCCCTTTGTCAGATTTCCAAACAACCTTGCCAGCCTTGACTGTCAAAAGGAGGCAGGAGCAGTTCTCAACACATGAAGCCTTATTCCCACTCCCTTGAGTTGCTGCTGAGCCAAACAGCATCTTTACAGAGGAAGTGGGATCAGAGGCAGAAAGTGTGGGAACTTGCTAAGAAGCAGGGCTTGCCTCTGTCCTCCCAGGGACTCCGCAGGGACATTTGTGTAGGGCAGGGGTTCTGTGCCAGCCCTGCTCTCTCAGGTGCCACAGTCACTCTGCAGAGGCGACTCTTGGAGCTGGAGGAAGCCAGGGCTGGGCCACTGTTTGTGCTGATGGTGTATTAGCGTGAGCAGCCTGGCCCTGGCCTCAAATCTGCTACCCCATCGATCCACTTGCCAAATAAAAGCTCTATATTTGGCTGCTTTTTTATGACAATTAAGATTTTTAAACTGAAGTTGACCATACAGGTTACATTAGCCGTAACTAGCCTCATAAGAAGGGTGACTGCCTAAACTAGTTCCTTGTAAGCTAAACCATCAATTAGCAATTGAAGCCATACTTTTATTTAAATTAATATGTGGAGAAACCAGAGGCCAAGCCACATAGAGGATAATAGTTCTTCCCAATAAAGGTGATACTAATCAGACTAATTCAAACTAAAGAAGTTATTACTTAAAGATGGAATTTCAGGGGAAGCAAGACTAATTTAGAACAAATGAAATTTCTCCAGTTCCTTCATTTGTCAATTAACCCCTAGCACATCAAAAATATCTCAGTCATTATCAGTCTCACTAACTCTAATGCCAAATGCTAAATCCAGTGTTCTTTCACACGGTTTTAATTTTCTTGGGAAATCAAATCCAATGGATATTAATGAACTGGGTTGCCCATCCCTGAAATGTCTTATTTTCAAGTGCCTGGCCTGGGGAAGAAGGGGATGAAACAATTGCATTTTATCCAAAGGTACATTATAAAAATAGAGTTTTTACCAAAAAAAGATATTTGTTCTTATCTCAATCGGCCTCATTTGGGCAAGTGACCCACAGGTCTTTTGGCGAGTCCGCTATTTGCCTGTGCATCTGAAATACTTGTTTCAACTTAGAGAATAGTCATAATGTGACCATAGCACTGCACGTCTAACAATCTAAGCCTGAAACCTGAAAGAAGAGATATGACAAGGGAAATTAATCAAGCTATATACAAGTATTGTATTTGAATAAAAGTAAAAAGAACAGCCTATAACCCTAGTTTTGTACTTCTTTACTTTGATGCTCTAGGACATCTGATGATAAAGACAAAATTTTGCTCTTAGATTATCCTGACAGGTAGATTAAGTTGTCAGCTGAGGCAGTGAGCTAAGCTCTAGTTAGTACAGATGACTTCCCTCAGTTCAGCAGCATGACCAAACACTGAGGGACTGGGAGAGGTGAGTTCTAAGAGGAATAGCCGAGGAAAATCTCCATGCTGGCAAGATTCTTGCCTTCCCATATTTGGATGAGGAGTTCTTTGTAGCCCGGAGGATAGAAATCTCACATAGTGGGAGAAGTGATAAGGTTGAAAAATTCATTTATTTTTTTGAGATGGGGTCTTGCTCTGTAGCCCAAGCTGCAATGCAGTGGCATGATCTTGGCACACTATAACCTCCGCTCCCAGCCTCAAGCGATCCTCCCACCTCAGCCTCCTGAGTAGATGGGACTACAGGCACACGCCACCACATCCACATAATTTTTTGTATTTTTTTTGTAAAGATAGAGTTTTGCCATATTACCCAGGCTTGTCTTGAACTCCTGAGCTCAAGTGATCCTCCCACACCTGACCTGAGAAGTCTTAATCGTAACTATGATGTGAGATAAGGAGTCTGATGCTGTGCCTTCCTCCCTGCTGATGTTGCCTGCCTCTAGGACTCCACCTGGCAAGGCTACCCAGTCAAAGTGCCTTCTCAGGGACTTTGAGGTCCCTTTAGCTCTACATTTTATGATGGCATTAGAGAGCACTGTGCTGTCCATATTTAGTGAAAATACCACACATCTGTCCTCTGGAAAAGGCTGAGCCAGCTCTATTTCTATCATATGACGCTGTCTAGTATATCACACTCAGAGGAAGTACATGATGTCTTGACACTGTTGTGTTTTTTTTTTTTTTACTGCATTTTAGGTTTTGGGGTACATGTGAAGAACATGCAAGATTGTTGCATAGGTACACACATGGCAGTGTGATTTGCTGCCTTCCTCCCCATCACCTATATCTGGCATTTCTCCCCATGCTATCTCTCCCCAACTCCCCACCCACTGCTGTCCCTCCCCAATTTTCCCCCCGACAGACCCCAGTGTGTAGTGCTCCTCTCCCTGGCCTTTTCTTCAGAGAGCTTACTAATGCCCTTTGAGACAAATTGCTGCTGGTGGTAGAGCTTGCTCCATTTATTTATGTAACTCAAAATCTATGCTGAGTTACTTAGTCATATCTTCAATCAGCTTCCCAGTCTTATCTGAGAAAAAGTATTTGCTTCATCACTGGATTCCATGAAAAACACCATATATTATAATTCAATAGAGATCAAGTTTCTCTATTTTCTCTTAAATGGAGAACACTTGCTGATATGATTGGGTGTTATTTCAGGCTAGTCTCCAGATGTCTGAAAAAATATCCGGGGACAGTATAATGTAGGCGAGTGTAACCCCAAGTTCGTGACATCTGACGGCCCCCATGTAATTTGGGGGATCAATTTAAAAATGACAGCTTACTCATAGGATCTTCATTGTTGTTTCAAGTTAACAAGCATCAATATATTTTCATTGAAATATATTAATATATTTCAAGAACAACATTCTCTGTGATGCTTTTTATGAATGGCACAAGATTAGTGTGTTACCTAAGAGAGCTTTTCTCAATGCCAGGTGGGTGCAAATTGTTTGCAGATAAAGTGGCAGGAGAAAAATTCAACAAAACCCTGTTCCTCAGTGGTGCATCATTTTTTTTAGTTATGCTTTTAGGCATGAGCTAATCTCTGATTAGCCCAACACTGACAATAAAACTGATTTATAAGTAATCACAATGGGGCCATTCAGTATTGGAGTTTGACAAGCCTTTGTTCTAAGCCCTCCAGTCACTAAAAATAATGTCCCAATAAGACTTAAATGTCGTAAAACCTTTTGCAACAAAAAAGTTTCATACATGCACTGAAATTTATATAGTAAGAGAAGCCTGCTAAGCCCTTGTCTCTTGGCTTTCTTGATTAAAATGAGAAAATATTTTACTCTTGAGATTGCCTATTTTAGAGAGAAATTACGTTTTGGGGATGGGCTCCTACTTACCTGACCCTTACAGTGGGGTCTGACAGTAGCCTCTGGTTTTGATTTAATGAGTTGCTGTATCATTTTTGTCTCCTCTTAAAAATGAAAACAGGCTAGGCACAGTGGCTCACGCCTGTAATCCCAACACTTTGGGAGGCCGAGGTGGGTGGATCACAAGGTCAGGAATTTGAGAACAACCCGGCCAATATGGTGAAACCCCATCTCTACTAAAAATACAAATTAGCCTGGCGTGGTGGTGACCACCTGTAGTCCCAGCTACTCGGGAAGCTGAGGTAGGAGAATCGCTTGAACCTGGGAGGCAAAGGTTGCAGTGAGCTATTCACACCATTGCACTGCAGCCTGGGTGACAGAGTGAGACTTGTCTCAAAAAAAAAAGAAAGAAAGAAAGAAAGAAACTACTCAGGCTTTTCACTTAGGTTGAACCATAGGGATTGGCCTTTTTTTTTTTTTTTTTTGGTAAAAAAATGATCAAGCATTGGCCATTCCATGTGGTTCAACCTAATATCAAACTCAGTATTTCCAGGACTAGTAGGTGACATTTCCTGAATTAATTTTGGTAGGTTTAGATTAGGTGATCAATTATTTTCTAAGACTATCCTGTATGCTCACAGTAGAGTTACAATGCAATTGTAAGTGACAAATACGAAACATACGCTTTCAGCAACATGTCTTTGCCTGTTCTGCTTGGCCCTCTGCTAATTCAGGGGACACACAGGAATTATTATTCAGTCATTCGTCCCTCTAGGAGTCGCGCTGCTTATCCCTTAGAATTCATGTGTTGGAAACTTAATTCCCAATGCAACAGAGTAGGAAGGTGCAGGCTTTTAGGAGGTCATGAGAGTACCACCCTCATGAATGAATTAATGTCATAATTAAAAGAACTGATGGAGGGGATTCTTTCTTTTGCCCTTTCACTTAGTCATGTGAGGACACAGCATACAAGGCACCATCTTGGAAGCAGAGAGCAACCCTCACCAGATGGCAGTGCCTTGAGCTTGACCTATCCAGCCTCCAGAACTGTGAGAATAAATGTCTGTTGTTTAAGTTGCCCAGCCTATGCTGTTCTGTTATAGCGGCACAAAAGGCACCAAGACAGAGATTGGTACCAGAGTGGGGTGTAGCTAAAACAAATACCTAAAAATGTGGAAGCGGCTTTGGAACTGGGTAATGGGTTGAGGCTAGAAGAGTTTTGAAATGAAAGCAGGAAAAAGCTTGTATTGCCATGAGTGGAGCATTAAGGGTGATTCTGGTGAGAGCTCAGAAGAAGAGAGCTGTAGGGAAAGTCTCATTCTTCCAAGAAACTGCATAAGTAAAAATACGGACAGTAAAGACCATTCTGATAAGGTCATAGAAATGAGAATATCATTGGAAACTGGGGGAAAGACCATCTTTTGTTACAAACTGACAAAGAACATGGCTGAATTATGTCCGTGTCCATGTTCTAGGACTTTGTAAGGGGCAGAACTTAGAAGCAATCAACTAGAATATTTGGCAGAAGAAAAGTCCAAGCAAGAAAGTGTTCAGAATGCTGTACGGTTTCTCCTAACTGCTTATGCTAAAATGGGAGAAGAGAAATGATTTAAAGACATAATTTATAATTCAAAGGGAAGCAGAACATAAAGATTTGGACAATTCTTGGTCCAGCCATGTAAAGAATAAAAAGTATATACTTTTTATTCTCACACCTATACTTCCAGCACTTTGGGAGGCTAAGGCAGGCAGATCACTTGAGATCAGGAGTTCGAGATCAGCCTGGCCAACATGGCGAAACCCTGTCTCTACTAAAAATACAAAAATTAGCTGAGCGTGGTGGCAGGCACCTGTAATCCCAGCTACTTTGGAGGCTGAGGTAGGAGAATCACTTGAACGTGGGAGGCAGAGGTTGCAGTGAGCTGGGTTGGGTGGCAGAGTGAGACTCTGTTTCAAAAAAAAAAGAAGAATGTTTAGGGCCAGGCATGGCGGCTCATGCCTGTAATCCCAGCACTTTGGGAGGCCGAGGCGGGTAGATCACTTGAGGTCAGGAGTTCAAAATCAGCCTGACCAACATTGTGAAACACCATCTCTACTAAATGCCTGTAACCTCAGCTATTTGGGAGGCTGAGGCAAGAGAATCACTTGAACCCAGAAGGCAAAGGTTGCAGTGAGCCGAGACGTGTCACTGCACTCCAGCCTAGACAACAGAACGAGACTCCATCTAAAAAAAAAAAAAAAAGTGTTTAGAAGATAGCACACAGGCTGTGGCCAGGCCACGATTTAATAAGATTAGTATGGATAGAAGAAAGCCACATGCTATTTATCAAGACAATGGGAGAGTGACCCCAACGGTATTCTGGACATCTTGGTACATGGGGAAGGGGCAACCATGCCCATCAAAAGCCCGGAGTGCCAGGGTCTTGGGGACAGAAGAATTTTGAGAAGGGGCCCAGGGTGCCCATGGGACCTGAGTGCTCACTGCTGAGAGCCACCCTGGGTCTCTGCACCCTGCACTCTGGCACAGTGCTCCTTGGCCACCCCAGCTCTGATTCAAGCAGGCCCAGGTGCAGCTAGGGCACTGCTCTGGAAGGTACGAGCAGTGAGCCTCGGCACATCCACGTGGTGCTTAATTCTGCAGGTGTGCAGAGTGCAAGAGCTGTGGAGTCTTGGCTTCCTTCACCTAGATTTCAAGGAATGCCTCAGTGGGCCCAGGCAGAGAACTACTGCAAGGGCAAATTCTCTGCAGAAAGCCCCCACTAGGGCAATGCCTAGTGACGTTATAGGAGTGGGGCTACCCCAGAGACCCCAGAAGTATGGAAGCACCAGTATACAGTGCCAGCCTGGGAAAGCTGAGAGCATGCTATTTCAGTGCATGGAAGCTAAGCATGGGCTGTACCCATTAAAGCCATGTGGGTGGGCCTGCCTGAGGCCATGGGACCTAACCTATAACCCA